GGACGGCTGGGGACGCATGGCGGCGAGCTCGGCGGGCAGCGAGCTCGGCGGGGGCCGGGGCCCCCCCGCAGGAGAGGTTCGCGCTGGCGGACGAGCGCACGCAGCGCCTGGCGGACGCGCGGCAGACGGCGGAGGCCGCCCCTCGGCCCAATGCTTAAGTCGGGCGTGCCTTTCTACAGGAGGAATATTCAAAAAATAGTCAAACATCTATTATTTTCAAATTTTGTTTGAGTATTTTTTAGTTTTCCTCCAAAATCCGCTTGTAGGGGACACGTCCGACCTAAGCCGATGCTCTCGCGAGGTTCTCGTTTTTTCTGCGGGGCAGGTCTGAGGTTTTCGGGCGGTCTGGGTTCGAGGTTTGCGGTCGACTGCAGGTATCGAAGGAGGAGAGACAGCACAAACATCAACTTTTGGTGCTCCGCGCGGATTTCTTGGGTCTGCGCTGGGACCCTCTGGCGGGCTCCGCGCGCCAGGGAGGGGGGCTCAGCGCAGACCCAAGAAATCCGCGCGGAGCTCCAGACGTTTCTGCTCATGCCGGTTTTTCTTCGTCTAACGTAAGACTGACCTTTCGCCGGAGTGACCTTGGTGCGGGCCCAACGGACCCCCCATGAGGCCATTTCTTTATTGCTTGGGGCATGACGGGCGTCATGGCCCCCACTCCCCCACCCCCTATGACGTAACGCTCCCCCCCACCAGTGCGCTCCGGGCACTGCCGCCGTGCGCATTGGGATCCGCGTAGATGTCCGCGTAGGAATCCGCATAGGTGTCTGGTCCGCAGGCGTCGTCGTCGTCGTCGTCGTCATTCGTCGTCGTCGCTCGTGGTTCGTCGCTCGTCGCTCATCGTCGTCGTGCGCGCGGACGCGGCTGGAGCCTGTTTTTTAAGTCCGGGCCGATGACGGCAATCATCTGGGGGGGAGGGGGTCGATGACGTCACGTTTCGCGCCGGCGGCGTTTGGGAATGGTTAGGAATGACGGAGGACGTGTAGCACGAACATGTCGGTGGCGATATGCACCACAAGGCCTGTGTACATCACAGTGCCCGCGTGCACCACAGAGCCTGTGTACACCACGCCGCCGATGTACACCACAGCAGCCGCGTGCAACACAGCGTCAGTTTGTGCCACCGTGCCTGCGGGCACAGCAGCTCTTGTGTACACCACAGCGCCACCGTACACCACATCAGCCGTGCGCAACACAGCACCAGTGTACACCACAATGCCTGCGTGCATTGTAGTGCCTGTGTGCGCCACGGCGCTTGTGTGCACCACATCAGCCGTGCGCAACACAGCACCATTGTTGTGTATAGAATTTCAGAAAGAATCTTTGTGACAAAACGGAGCGCGTGTGGATTCCCGGGAACACAATGGAAAACAAATCTTCATGGAGGAGGAGGAGGAGGAGGAGGAGAGGGAGGAGGAGGAGAGGGAGGAGGAGGGAGGAGGGAAAACCGTCGCATTCGATTATCAGAACTTTCCTGGCGTGGCGTTTAGTTGTCCGCATCAGATCCTGACGTACATGCTCCTTCTACCTGTCCTATGCACGCAGGCATTGTGGTGTACACCAGCGCTGCGTTGCACGCGGATGCTGTGGTGTAGACAGGCGCTGTGGCGTGCACAGGCGCTGCGGTGCACGCAAGCACTGTGGTGTACACAGGCGTTGTGTTGCACATGGCTGTTGCGGTGTGTGTACACCGGCGTTGTAGTGCTTCCAAGTATTGTGGCATACACGGGCGGTGCGTTGCAGACGGCTGTTGCGGTGTACGCAGGCGCTGTGGTGCACGCGCGCGGTGTGGTGCACGCGAGCGTTGTGGTGTACACAGGCGCAATGGGCAGATCGCCACTTTCGTGCTGCTCGCGTCGTCGTCGTCGCTCGTCGCTCGTCGCTCGTCGCGTCGTGCGCGCGGGCGCGGCTGCCGGAACCACAGGGGGGGGGGGCGTCACGTCATACCCCCCCCCGCCATCCCCCCCGCCCCGTGACGCCCGTCATCGCCGAACATAAAGAAACGCCTTCCCTCGATCGCGGAGTGCGATGCGCGATGCCACAGTACAGTAGCGGCCCGCGTGCCAGGGGTTGGCCCTTCCGCCCCCCCCCCCCAAAAAAAATCCGCGTATCAAAGGCCACTCTTACCTGACGAGCGGGTTGGACCGCTACCATAGGAAGGAGACGGAGGAGGAGGAGGAGGAGGAGGAGGAGGAGGAGGAGGAGGAGGAGGTGGAGGACCTCCCCGTCCTCCCTTCTCCCCCGTCTTACCTGTGCTAGTGGTGTTGGTACATCGGCCCATCTTTACCCGGGGTCACTCCTGCGTGCAGCCGATTCGGGCGTTTTCGCTGGCTCTCGGCGGCCCTCCCGCCTGAGAGTGCTTTCCAGCAGCTGCGCCTCTCCGAGAGCGCTCCAGGGGGGGGGGGGGGCCGGGGTCGTCCCGAGCGGGCCACCAGAGACCGGAGCCACGGCCCGAAAGCCAGGAGTGGGGCGCGCCGAGACTTTGGCCGCAGATCTTCCCGGAGAGGCGGGCCGGAGCGGCAGGAAGCGGCAGCCGCCGCCCTCCTCCCCCCCACCCCGCCTGCCGCTCCTGGACCCCCGTGGCCCCCGTTTGGCCCTGCTGCCTCTGCCGGCCCGTGCCTCTGCTCCTGCTCCTGCATCCCCCCCCACCCTCGCTCCCCTTGCCCGCTCCTCCTCCCCCCCCCTCGCTCCCCTTGCCCCCCCCCGCTCCACTTGCCCGCTCCTCCCCCCCCCCCTTCGCTCCCCCTTGCCCCCCGCTCGCTCCCCCCCCTCGCTCCCCTTGCCCGCTCCTCCTCCCCCTGCTCTTCCTCGGCGTCTTCCTCCCGACGGAGCTGCGCCTTGCTGCTCGCCCCGTTGGGCATCGACGGCGCGAGGTGCCGCCTCCACGTGTTCTTTGCCATGGAGCTGGCACTAAATCGGGCGTGTCCCTCTACAGGAGGAGTATTCAAACATAGTCAAAAAATAATCAGGGGACGATTTTTTGAAATTATGTCTTGGCTATTTTTGAGCACTTTTGGACTATTTTTTATTTTTCGCCCGAAATCTGCCTGTAGGGGGCGACCTAAAGCTGACACCATCATGGTCATCGAATCATAGAGTCCTCCTCCGTCCGTCGCCTCCCAAAGGGAGGGAGGCCAGCCCAAGCATCGACCA